GTAAAAGAAAAATAGATGTGGTCAGTGGTCTAGAATGATGGAAAGAACAAAATCAGTGAAGCAAAGTAAAACATAAGAAAGCAAGCAAATAAGAAACCTAATACATCAGGAATAAAAATGAGGAAAAAAAAAAAGGAAGCCTGTGGGACCTGTTTGATCAAGCTGTAGAATCAAACACATGATTCCAGAAGATTTTAATGACCTGTGACAAAAGGACAGTTAACTGTTTCTGAAATGCCAGTCATCCATAGCTTCAATGAACCTACTGAGTCAAGACCAGAGGAAATCAGGGTGAAGTGCTCAGAAGTCAAAAAGACACTTCCAGGAAAAAAGAAATTCCTCCCCATCACACTAATATCAATCAGTTATTGTGGTATGCATTGAATATGCAAATAAGATAAGGAGAGTGTAACTGATGAAGCAAATCAACCACTGTTTCTCATAGTGCCACTGAAAAACTAAAGAGGGCAAAACTGCAAGAGAAATCCTTTCCGTGAAATGGAAAAATAATAAATATGCATTTCATGAAGACATTTCAATAACAGCTTCAGTAGAAGTAATAGATATTACAGTACAATAATGAAAATAATATTTTTGAGCGATAAAATGTTTTAAGAAATAATGTCAGAATGGGGTTGGTGGAGTAATGGTGCTACAGTGTGCTGCTAATTGAACAACCATAGCCTGAGCTCAAACTCATAATTTCTTTTTATCTGAGCTGCTAGATGTCCTCTGTGTTGAGGAACCGATTGATAAAAGGAACATCTATATTTCATATAAAGCACACAGACCTGTCTTAGAAAACTGCATTTATACAGCATGAAACTATCAAAAGCTAATGTCAGATTTGACATGCAAATAAACCCAGCCTTTATGGAGACAGCGTAGACAGTGTGGTACTCTTGTTTCAGAGAAAAACTCAGAATTGTTCACCTCAAGATGTTCATAACAGTGAGATGGATTCTCCTATAAATTTTCCACCCTGCTAGCACAACTAATATTCTACCAATTTATTTCTGGTTTCTGCTTTGTACCTTTCTGTTACACTTGTATTTAGAAATACAGGGATGTTGCGACAGCAATTAATTAATAAAACAGAGAGACACAGTAACAGTCATATAATATTTACATAAACAGATACCAGACTACTATGCATCACAAGATTTAACACGAAATCCTGTGATAATTGAATTTCGCTCAAAGGGAGAGCAGAATGTTTATGATAGTTTCCCACAAATCTTAAGAACATCTCTATAAGATACAATTACAGTACCTATAAAAATGTCTATAGAAATGAATAGTAAATGGCTGCTATCATACTTAGTGATCTTCTAGAATTTAATAAATATTATAATAGTTCCAAATCCTGCAATATTATTCTATATTGCATTTTACACATCTTCCAAATAATTGTCTACAAAGCTCAGTTTCTTACCCACAAAATTCAATATGGTGCTTAAATAAGAAAGCTGACATATCACACAAAACCAGTAATACATAAATCACAATATTACACTGTTCCAGCTGAAGTCCATCTTTATTAAGATAACATGCCAGAATTAATGAAGACTGGGAGGCCTCCTATAATCCTAGGGTGAAATCGGTGTGCTCAGCTCGCTCCCTGGAATGTCTGTACACCAATGCATGCAGCATGGGAATAAGCAGGAGGAGTTGGAAACCTGTGTTAAGTCAGGAGACTATGATCTGGTGGCAATTACAGAGATGTGGTGGGACAGCTCACATGACTGGAATATAGTCATGGAGGGCTATGTCCTTTTCAGGAAAGACAGGCCAGCCAGGAGGGGTGGTGGGGTTGCTCTTTATGTGCGGGAGGAACTACAATGCACCGAGTTCTGTCCAGGGACAGATGACGAGCGAGTTGAGAGTCTGTGGGTGAGAATTAAGGGGCAGGCTGGCAGGGGCAATACTGTTGTAGGTGTCTGTTACAGACCACCAGATCAGGGTGAGGAAGTTGACGAGGCCTTCTACAGGCAGCTGAGAGAGGCCTCACAGTCACAGGCTGTGGTTGTCGTGGGGGATTTTAACTTCCCTGATGTTTGCTGGAGGGACCACTCGGCAACCCAGCCACAGTCCAGGAGGTTCCTCCAGTGTATGGATGATAACTTCCTCCTGCAAATGGTGGATGAGCCGACCAGGAGAGGAGCGCTGCTGGATCTCATCCTCACTAACAAGGAGGGTCTGGTCAAAGCAGTAAGGGTTGAGGGCTGCCTTGGTAGCGGCGACCACGAGATGGTGGAGTTCAGGATCTTGTGTGGTAGGACCAGTAGAATAGCAAGTAGAATTGCAACCCTGGACTTTAGCAGGGCAAACTTTGGCCTTTTCAAGCAATTGCTAGGGGAAATCCCATGGGCAAGGCTGCTTGAAGGTAAAGGGACCCAAGACAGTTGGTTGGCATTCAAGGATTGCTTTTTCCGAGCTCAAGATCAGAGCATCCCGACACGTAGGAAGTCAAGGAAGAGGGCCAGGAGACCTGCGTGGCTAAATAGGGAATTGCTGGGTGTGCTCAAGTGGAAGAGGAGAGTTTACAGGTCATGGAAGGAGGGGCTGGCCACTTGGGAGGAATATAAGGCTGCTGCTAGAGGATGTAGGAAGGCAGCTAGGAGGACTAAGGCCTCCTTAGAATTAAATCTGGCGAGAGGGGTCAAGGACAGCAAAAAGAGCTTTTTCAAATACATGGCAGATAAAACTAACACCAGAGGCAATGTAGGCCCACTGATGAACGGGATGGGTGCCCTGGTGACAGAAGATACAGAGATGGCAGAGTTACTGAATGCCTTCTTTGTCTCTGTCTACTCTGCTGCAGGCAGTCCTGAAGAGCCCTGTACCCCTGAGACCTCAGATGAAGTCAGGTCGACGGAGCGGTTTGCCTTAGTCGATGAGGAATGGGTTAGAGACCAGTTGAGCAATCTGGACATCCATAAATCCATGGGTCCAGATGGGATGCACCTGCGGGTGCTGAGGGAACTGGCGGAAGTCATTGCTAGACCACTCTCCATCATCTTTACCAAATCTTGGGAAACGGGAGAGGTGCCTGAGGACTGGAGGAAAGCAAATGTCACTCCGGTCTTCAAAAAGGGCAAGAAGGAGGACCCAGGTAACTATAGACCGGTCAGCCTCACCTCCATCCCTGGGAAAGTGATGGAACACCTTATCCTTGGTGCCATCTTAAGGCATATCAAGGATAAGAGGGTTATGAGGGGCAGTCAACATGGCTTCACCAGGGGGAAATCATGTTTGACCAATCTCTTAGCCTTTTATGAGGAAATAACACAGTGGATGGATGATGGCAGAGCGGTGGATGTGGTCTATCTTGACTTCAGCAAAGCATTTGACACAGTCCCCCACAGCATCTTCACAGCTAAATTGAGGAAGTGTGGTCTGGATGATCAGGTAGTGAGGTGGACTGTGAACTGGCTGAAGGAGAGAAGCCAGAGAGTTGTAGTCTATGGGGCTGAGTCTAGTTGGAGGCCTGTAACTAGTGGAGTGCCTCAAGGGTCAGTACTGGGACCAGTATTATTTAATATATTCATCAACGATTTAGATGAGGGAATTGAGTGTACTATCAGCAAGTTTGCTGATGACACTAAGCTGGGAGGAGTGGCTGACACGCCAGAAGGCTGTGCTGCAATCCAGCGAGACCTGGACAGGCTGGAGAGTTGGGCAGGGAATAACTTGATGAAATATAACAAGGGAAAGTGTAGAGTCCTGCATCTGGGCAGGAACAACCCCAGGTTCCAGTATAGGTTGGGGAACGACCTGTTAGAGAGCAGTGTAGGGGAGAGGGACCTGGGGGTCCTAGTGGACGACAGGATGACCATGAGCCAACACTGTGCCCTTGTGGCTAAGAAGGCCAATGGCATCCTGGGGTGTATTAGAAGGGGGGTGGTTAGTAGGTCGAGAGAGGTCCTCCTTCCCCTCTACTCTGCCCTGGTGAGACCCCATCTGGAATATTGTGTCCAGTTCTGGGCCCCTCAGTTCAAGAAGGAGAGGGACCTGCTGGAGAGAGTCCAGCTCAGGGCAACAAAGATGATTAAGGGAGTGGAGCATCTCCCTTAGGAGGAAAGACTGAGGGAGCTGGGTCTCTATAGTTTGGAGAAGAGGAGACTGAAGGGTGACCTTATAAGTGTCTGTGAATATATAAAGGGGGAGTGTCACGAGGATGGAGCCAGGCTCTACTCAGTGGCAAACAATGATAGGACAAGGGGTAATGGGTACAAACTGGAACACAAGAGGTTCCACTTAAACTTGAGAAGAAACTTCTTCTCAGTGAGGGTGACAGAACACTGGAACAGGCTGCCCAGGGAGGTTGTGGAGTCTCCTTCCCTGGAGACATTCAAAACCCGCCTGGACACATTCCTGTGGAACCTTATCTAGGTGTTCCTGCTCCGGCAGAGGGATTGGACTAGATGATCTTTCGAGGTCCCTTCCAATCTCTAGCATACTGTGATACTGTGATGCTGGTAAAACTAGTGACCCTCGCAGCATGAATTAGCAGCATGCATGAAGTCAGGTGTTGCACTACCGTATGAAGCAACCACAGCAAACGAGGACAGCACATAATTCCTCTACCAGCAAAGGCTTGCCATAAAAGTTATACATCAACTGTCTTATCAAGTCCACTGGCAGTACGTGGATATGCAAGTACATTGAGGTCTCTGTACTCACTGTAAAATTCTCTGCTTGTGCAATTGCTATTGCATTCAGTGGCTCCAATATTCAAGGGTGAGTGCAGAAAAACAATACTCTCATCACGCATATGACTTATTCATTACCTTATTGCTGCTTCTTAGATGAGTATGGCTAAAATTTACTCTCAAAAGATGATGTATTAAAACACACTGTTAACAGTATAAAATGAAATATCAAACTGTGGGAGTAAACGCATACGTTTGTGTGTGGGCATACACACGCACACATACATACAGAGTATTTCTGCTTTGCATAAAGTACATCTTACAGAAAAAATAAAAACTACTTACACCAGAATAGAAAGGCTCACCAGACACACAGATCACATCCTGCTCCTGGATCATCAAAATATCTTTGGCTAAGTGCAGTCGCACTTTGAAAGGCTCCTGGTTACCATCCTGCAGCAAACAAATCCCTGTCTTTGTCTTCAAAGGAAGGAATAAAGAAAAAAAGTTTTATGTTAGAGTTTGCATTGCCAGAAGTGGTATTTTGAAACAGAATAGCTTAGAGATAGGTACAGTTATAAAATGGCAGCAAATATGCAAAATCGCAACCAGTAATCACTGTATTTATTTACTGTACTCAGACTACAAGAGAACGACGGTCACAGGAGCAATATCAAAGGCAGATTTTACAAAAATAAGGTGCTACTCTGATGAGGATGAATTTGTGAAATTCCTTTCAAATCGCTTCAGAGCAGCTGTGTTCTTACTTTCCATCTTTGTATTAAATGATGACACCTCACTTGGACATGAAATCAAGGGTGATGCTCCACATATTACACCAATTTTGACACAGACATATGAACAATAACACCTCCAAACTAGCCAGATGTGAGCACTGACAGCCTACATGAACCTGTGTGGGCTTTTCATGATCTGGGAGCATACTAACTTGTGCTTTAACGTTCGTCTTCAAATGAAGATGCTGAAGTTAAGAATAAAAGAGATCAAAGAATGCAACTGCCTGTAGTAACTTACTTCTTACTCAAATTTTGAACTCTATTGTTAGATCAAGAATTCTGTAGGATCTCCAATATAGAACAAGTGACTTTCCAACAATTTTGCAGTTTCTTTGTGGTAGTAACTATTTGTACTACTTTTGGGGGCAGTAGTTTGAGCAGTGAAAAAGCCTGCACGAGTAAGTACTTCCAATATGTAATAATTTTTCCCTGAAGGCTGTGTTGAAATGGCATTCTTTATAACATTTCATAACTGACAAGAGTCATGTTGGTAGAGTGGTTTTGGTATGAGAAAATTGCTTACAAGCAATTTAAAAATTCAGCCTTTCAACTGGTAATCTAACAGTATTAGATACCTATACTTATTTGCATAGATACAGAGATATGCACGTATGCATGTATGTATCTCAGCAGAAAATTCCAATACAAAAGCATTTAAAATCTTCAACTCATGTCAATAAAACTTTGCCTTCATTCAGGTCACATTTCAATTCACTGTCTGTAAAAAGCTGTTTTGAGAGGAGATCAAGGAAACAAAAGTCTTGCTGTGAACTTTAACTACCAAGGCTGACCTGGCTGAATCTGAGGGCTTTTTCTCAGACAAGAGTTTAAAAGAGGATTTGGAAGATCTCCCCATAATGTGCTCTGATACCTTACATCCATAGCATGGACAGAAGAAACACAAATACAGAACTGACAGGAGGCAATTGTCAGAATAAAGGTTTAAGTTAGTTTCAAAAGGCTTTGAAAGAGGTGGAAAGGTCGAGGACAACCTTTAAATAGCTCTATACAATGTTCTGTCACTTCTGCTCAATGCTCAACACTCAAACTTAGGAAGTTGTTTCCCCTTGGACACCAATAGGACATGTGTATAACTCAGTCATAACTTTGAAAGTTGGTCTGACATTTTTATTCTATTAACTAAGTGAAAAAAAAAGAAAAAACTAAGGGCTCCATACACTGAACTCACACTTTGGTCAACAGAAGCCCTGGACAGAGAAAATCATACAGCCTTGTTTGAATATTTAGGTGTCTTTTTCAAATAGGACAAGATAGAAACTGACATGAAGAGACAAATCAAATCTGTTAGGTTTTCAGCACCACTGAAAAATTCCCTCTCACACAATACATAGAATATTACAACATTTAAAAAAGAGAATAAAAAGAGAATGTAAAATAGTTAAATTCCCAGGGTCCTCTCCTTGCAACTTCTGCTTTACAAACTAAGACAACTTTTTCCGTGGAGTTGTGAAGTAAGCACTAAGTGACAACAGAAGCTGAACAAAGCAAGCTGCAAATAACTAAGTTCAAAAAAAGAGGAGTAGCCTACAAACATCTACCACTTATAAAATGCCTTTCTCCTGCAGAAAAGTTTGCAGACATGCCTTTCCTCCTTCCTGGATAAGAAACTAAATAAATTCTACCTCTAGTACACTGATAATAGTAACTCTGCTGTACTTGACTGCATGCTCCTGATTTGGTCAATAACCCTATAAAATCTCCACAGAGTCTTTCTGCAAAAGCTGAGGGGGTTCATTGTGGGAATTAGAACACAACCATAGCAGACACACTTAGCCATTAGAATAAAATTAAAATTCCAGTCAGTTTCTAAATGCATGTGGGCTGAGCTTACTCAGTCTGAACAAGGAAACCAAGCTTGGGAACAGCAAAATATTTTGGCCATTGGAAGACTGATTGCACACACTCAGGGATCTTATTTACATCAGACACTCTAAAATGTAATGAACCACTTTACTGTTGTTGGCCTTTATGAAAGCTGGTTTATGATACAGTTCAAAATTACATCTTCAACTATACTACCTTCTTCTCTCTTCTACCTGAGAGCAGCATTAACAACCATGTAAAGGAGAATGTACTTCAGTTTCATTAGCTAAGCTCAAGAGAAGTCCTTGAGAAGGATGACTAGAATTTAATTGTTTCATTCTGTTTTATTTTTGTCTTCTGAAATTTCCTTTCTGTTCTTTCCCCCACTCCATTCAAAGCACCCAGGAAATTGAACAAAATAAAGATAAGAGCTCCTGAATCCTTATCCAGAGCTGGAACTTAGGGAAGGCATCCTGTTTATACGCTTTCATGTAAATTACTGTGCATATCAACATTTTTCATCCATGCAGCCCCAGCAAAATTATTCTGGTTGAAGAGAGATCACCTGTCCAGCCTACACCCTTGCCATTTCTTGTATCTGAAAAGCTTAGATGGTGTGCCTGTGTGTGTGTGGATGAGGTAGGGGATTGTGGGTTGTAGTTGATGTTCACTTTTGTTCCCATTACTAATTTTTAAGAGATTACATGACAGTGCATGCTAAAATTTTCCTTCCAAGCCTTTTATATCTCACTGGCAGAGGGCTCTGCCCTACCCCTGACCTACAGCAATAAACCAGCATACAGTACGTCAGCCAAGCTACTGTACCTGTCAGTGTGAGATCATGCAAAGCATCTTCGTGTGTTTAAATGTATGATAAACTGCATCACCTTATAGCAGATACAGATAGAGAAGCATAGTTCAGCTGACAACAGCTTGTTCAGCCAATGCACCTTGACTGACTGAGACAAAATCACCAGCAACATTGCCCTACTTAAATTTATATTATTTTACTTTCTTCTTCCTATCTATAGAGTTTGGCACCTGTTGTAGTGAGGGCAAGAAAACTGGGTGTTTAAGTTCCACATCTTTATGAAGTTAATGAGATAGTCTAGGGAATGAATATGGAAGCAATACACAGTGGTGAAAGAACAGGTTTCCAGGTGGGAGAGGAGTCAGCGACTTCATGCAAAAGTAGTGATGAAGGAGGTAGCAGTACCTAAGCGACAGATGTAGTGAATGTTGCAGCTGCACAGTGTTGCTTCTGACATCTCAGTCCACACCTTTTTAAGCTGTGCTAGACAAGAACACTGATATAGCAAGAGCTGATGTCCTTGGCAGGAGTTTAGAAACTGCTTACTGTTCCTGAACTAATATAAGAGGGGCTGAAAACTGATCCCTCGTTGCTTTGCCACACCAGTCTGTGCTGAACTTTCTGCTTCAGATCACTATCAGAGAACAGTACAGGTTGCCAGAGCCTTCAAGGCAGACTGCTTCTATAAAGTATATGGTCACACTCATTATTAGCAATAAGGCAGTGAAAAAAAGGCCATTTAAAAACCTTTTCCTATTATACCCTGACTTACAGCACAGTCCATATTGGCTGTGTATAAGATCTGGCCCTAATAACTTTCCTAAAAGGAATTTAGAAACACACACCATAAACAGCATGGTACAATATATATGGCCTTTCCAAATATTTAATAAATAACTTCACAGGAAAACTATGATTTATACATTTATGCTAGCAGCAGTCTCTACCAAGCATACACAAAACTTAATCCTGCATGAGAAACATCTTTAAAATTACACGTTGAGTTCAAGGCAAATTTTCTGTAGGACTTCCAACATAAATAGTTTTTCATTTATCTGGCCTAAATAAGGCTACTGGCAGGTTTTCTGTTGAAAATGGTTTTGTTTACTTTTTTTCCCTATTTGTGGTTTTCCTTGTCATGTATGCAATTTCTAAAACTTTTCCTATGTTTTGTTCTGGAGGAGACTTATTCAGTATTTCAGGCAATTTTAAATAGTCTCCATTAGTTTTCAATACAAGACTATTTTTGTTTATGATATTTTTTCTATTTCTTCTGCCTTGCGGTAATAAAATAATTTGATTAGCTTTGCTTATTCTAGCTTCACATTAGTAGGAAGACTTCAACAGATACCCCAGAATAGGCTAGTCCATAAACCAGTGGAAGAAAGGAAGACAAAAGTAATACATTTTCTGTGAAAGGTGGCCTCAAGTTTTTAGTGCCTGCTTTGGCCAGTATATCCTAAAATGAATGAAACCTCTGCAATTTAGTTTTAAGCCCTGAAATTTATTTCTACTATCAAGAATATGATATCAGTAAGGAGAATGGGCTGCATAAAGTGCCTTAAATATGTATGTAGTTCACTCCACATGAATAGCAACACTTTTGGATACCTATCTGAACTGAGGCTAACCCCTGAGCAGTTGGAGGATATACTTCTCACTGCTTTATAATTGTAAGTATAATAATAAAACGGGAAATTGATCAGAAGTAGAAGATGACAATGGTAATGAATACATGAGGTAGGAATATGTGTCAGAACTACACAAAGGATCTTTTTTAAATGGTCCAGCTACTCACTCTGTGGAGGTGCTGCTGGCGCAATTTAAAAGCACTTTTATTGTAAAATACTGGAATGTAGCCCAGATACACAGGGATGTGTTCAGCTTGTCATTCAGAGCCTATTCTATCAGATACTAACATTTTCCAATTCAGAGGATAGCAAGTCCAGTCCTGAACATCGATTCCTGAACAGCAGGAAAATCTTGATTTTGGACTTTATCTGCATTTTCTTTGATTTGCCAGGTATTTGCCTGGTAAGTATTTGGCTACAGCATTCTTTTTAAGTGCTTTTCTTTCAGAGAATTTCCTTGTTTCATACAGTCTGATTAATTCAATATGCAAATTAGACATTTGGAGAATATATTTTTATATAAATATGTATATATATGAGCTTCTTACTGAACTAAGGTACTTTCTTAGAGCAAAACTTCTTATTTTCTGATGCTATCAGGAAAGAAGTTTGGATGTTTGAATTGCCAATGAGCATACTATACTGGGACTAGATTATATCATTACAGTTGAGACCAAGAGATTAGATAAGATAAAACTGAACGTTGTAAGAACATGTGTGGTTCTTAAAATTTAATTCATCTATTACATTACATTTTCACAGGCACTGTAAATTGCCATTAATTTTCCATCTTGTGATTTTGGCATTAAATTATGAGTGGAAGCTTGATTTAAGAAAAATTCCACAAACCCAAGGGATTAGAAATCCCAGAACTGCCATTTGACAGCATTTAAAAACAAAGGAAATCATCAGCCTAGGGTGAGATGTATAAATCAGAAAACAGCATAAAGGTAAGTAGAAACAGTCCAAAAGAGTAAATAACAAGATCTATGAAAGAAAGTCACAAGGAAGTAAAAATACTGCTTAAAAATATAACATTCTATGGCAGGCAAAAAAAACCAAAACAACAATACAGTATGGATGTTCAAATAGAGGCAACTAGACCTCTGAAAAACAGAATGTATCAAATTTTAAAGTGTGTGAAGTCTACAAGATCATTCACAGGATACATAAAGCAGAGGACAAACTGTTTACCAATAAAGAAATAATGGACAGTACTATAGAGACAGATTCATAGATAATAAGCACTAAAATGAATGGGGTACTTATTAATTTAAGCAAGTTTGAAGTTATATTAGGTAAAAAAAAAAAGCCAAGCTAATAGAAGTAAAGGATGAGATTTCAAAAGTTAGGAAGTAAGAAAAGTTAGAAAGCTGCACATGCAGCGTATTCATAAAGTATATAGAAAATATCAGCTTAAAAAAAAAAAAGAAAAGAAAGAAAAAAAAAGAAAAAGAAGAGTGTCTAAAGGGAGAATGTTCTCATGCATCATAACAATCCCAAGTTCTCACTATCAGAAGGGTACTTTCATAGCAGAGGACAGTATTATGTCAGAGACTGAGGTTATCTTTCAAGAGAGTTTTCAGAATACAGAAGGTCAGGTGAGTACGGGAGAGCGTTTAAAGAACCCAGTGACTCTATGATTCATGCTCTTGTAAAGTTCAGAAAACTCAAGACAAAGGCTAAAAGAGGAGCCAGATAGTCTTACGGTTTAGAAATTGTTGAGTAAGTACAAGAACCAGCACAATGGATTCATTTGCTCATCAGTGAGGGAAGAGCATGGAATCCAGAATAATTAATTATAAAATAATGCAAATTTTCCCACAGCTAGCAAGCAGATAAGCCACAAGAAAAAAATAACTATAACTTTCCTATCATCAGATACCAGGTATTTTCCCTGTTGGTGCTGTGTCTCTGCGAGCGTTCTGTGTGTTGGTATGTGATATGCGATAGTCATGTACATAAGCACATATGTATATAAGCACATATACATGTAGTGTATATGTGTGCTCTGTATGCGTGTGTCTACTGGGGATATTTATTCACTCCCACTACTGGTTGAACCTGGGCCATGGAGCTGCAGCTGCTTCTTGGGCTTTCAGATTCAGCTCAGTATGTTCTTCCCTGAACGAAAACCAAAGTAGATGATGCTTTTCAATGATAGTGTTGAAGTTTTAGTTAAAAATTACACTATATGTAAGCATAAGGCTGCTGATGATTTATTTAGACACAGGCATTTGATGAAAGTAGGTTGAAAGTCTATATTTTATTAAGCTTGATTAGACTGGGAGGAAAGATGTAGATCACAGCTTCCAGAATTTCTTGGAAGTGACAGCACCGGTTCTGTGGCAGAAGACTTATTTTATGCAAAGCAAATAAACTAGGGTTGACTCCACTGCATTTAAGTTTATTAATCTAAAAGCAAAAGAAGCTTCTTTTGGATCTCCAGGACACAGAACTTTCTTAGGATGGGTGGAATCATCCTCTCCTTTCCTTCTCTTATCATGGAAAGTCCAACAAAGCAGTTGCTTTTAAAGAGCTAAATTTGAAAACAATGCCCCCATTAGAAACCTGATACAGAATAACTAATTAACTTATTGTACTGTACTGTAAAGGCTAAGATAGAACTCATATGCTAGGTCATTTTTCTGTGGCTGTTCTTGTCATCACTGCTGCTTGGCACAGAAGTAAGTTAATTGCCGCTAAATAATTAATACTAGTGTACAGTTCAAATAATGACATAAAAATACAATGAAAATAGTATGTATCTGCCTCTTTGTCAATAAATGCATTAATAAATAAATGATAATATATCATAAAAAAGAAAATCAACGTGCCCTTAAAAATATGTTTTAACTTTTGGTCAGGCCATTGAACTAGATGATCATTGAAAGTCCCTTCCAACTGAAAATGTTCTCTTCTAAAACCCAAACCAAACCTCAAAACTAGCAAAAATGCTTTTTACCAGGCAAATAATCTGGGATATACTTAGACTGGGCACGAATCTTCTTAAGGTCTTAAAGTCTGATACATAGCATCCTGGACAACCATCGTTGCATTCTTTCCCAAAGGTAAACTTAACTGTCATATTACGTTTTGACCGTACTACTCCTCTCAGAATGTTGTCACGATTTAATGTTCTTTAGCCTGTTTATTTTCTGTTCCCCCCTAATTTATACCAATTGATTCTCAGGTCCAAATTGGCTTTAAGCTGCAGTTAGTTCTTGGTTCTAGTGCTGTTCCCATCCCTCCACTTCATTTTTTTTCATGGGATCATGGTAAGGCTTACAGATATGGCCATTTTTCTTGCTTTCAGTCATAACTTCCAAAATGTTGTTTGCAATTTTCAGTGTACAGGCCTGACTTTTTAATCACAATACTGCACTGACATCATTGCGCAATTTGGTGTAAACAGTACTCACTGTGTCTCAATTGCTGATGTGAAACTGCATTACAAACATTGTTCATAGACAATCATTGAGTAAATAAGATGCTCTTTTTAATGTCTACAAATACATCTCATTTAATTTAAGGAAAAGTTAGTGGAAGGGGGAAAGAAGTACTTTGCACAGACATTATGAAACTATACTCACTTTAAGCAAAAATAACCCTCTTAGCTCATCAAATCAGAATGGATTTGCTTTTCATATTGGTCATCTTCACCTCTTTCCCTACTCAACCTTTTCCCCCACCTTTACAGTGCCAGACAGATTTCTGACTTGACTGATGTTTTCAGATATAAACACTGCACGAAGAGCAAAGACCACACAAAACATAGCTACCTGCGCGTACATTGTGCCTACAGAGGCAAATTGGAATGGGCAGAGGTGATGGCTAGGGGTGAATACACACCTGGGCAAATTCTTTCATCTTCTACTACAAAGTCTGTCTGCCACCATAAAGTGATCAGCTGAATAACTGTATCTGATTATATAACTCCTCTCATTTCAGAAAAAAAGGAAGGAAAAAAGGATTTTGCATATAAAAAGGATTAAAAGTTCATGGAATTTGATTCTACTATTGTTCAAAAAGAAAAACATCTGATCCTACCTCTTCACAGGCGGTCCTGAAATCCATGTGCTATGACACAGCAAGTGATATTTGTCTAAAATGGAGAGAAAGATTTCATTAGAATGAAAAAGATATTGCAAAAATAAAAGTTACCTGTCTGAGCTGAGCGACTGCACTTCTCTTTGTTAGGTCCAGTTATAGTCATTGCTTAAAAAGAGAAATGATTAAAGTTGCAGCAGGATTAGGAAGCGTGAGGTATTAGAAGCTGCTCCTGTTTCTTACAAAGTACACAACCTGATTATATAGAATATAATAAAAGGAATGCTTATGTCCCCACAACCTTCTCCTCTCCACAGGGCATTCAAACTTACTTTTCTTATTTCAACTATAATTTTTTTTTTTGGTTGCTTTTATTTTTTGCCCCCCCCCAATATTAAGAGTATACTGGAAAGTAACAGAAATTGAGACAATTAAATGTTGCTCTTCAGAATACACTTTCTCTTCTAAAAGACTGTTGTTTTTTTTTCTCTCCCCTAATTAAAAACCATCACGCATCAATAACTTTTGTCTCACATTTTTAATGTCTCCAAGTAAGTCAGTGTCATTTAAGTGTGCCTACTTTGCAGAAATATTTATGAGCTGAAAAAACAAATGTTAGAAAGTCAAGAATATGTGTGAATGCTGGCAAAATGTCACACCAAATCCTGTGATTATTACTTTGCCTGGCCTTTACCGAAAGTCTGTTCATCCCAGCGCACACTTATGCATGCATTTATTAATGGTATAAAGCCACTGGAACAGGCTGTTATCAGAGGATAATAACAGTGTCCTGCTGTTGGTTCTGCAATAGAAACACTCATGTATCACCCAATGACATTTCCAGTAAACACTTCTGGGCAAAAGAGTAATTGCATTCAATGGCTAGCGAATTGAAACCTATACCAAAATCCTCCCCATCAAGCATTTTACTGCTGTTCTGTGTTAATTATGTGCTTATAATTATTTGCATAAATATAGTATTAAAAGCTCCCACACAAAAATTGCCCCATTAGCCTAAGCTTAAAACAAAATGTAAAAACTATACCTACAAAAATGCAGGTCTTAATACTAAAACATCTTCATTTGTTTTGCTGCCATGGATGCAGTTTCATTAAACCCAAGCACACATACACATACACATAATGTTCTGTATTTACTGAGCTTTGCTTGGTTCACAGCCTGTGCTCTATGCTAGCAGAGCTAGCCTAGGTTTGATAGGTTACAAAGCAGGAATTTAAAATGGACCCATCATCATTCCTTCGTTTATCAGCTTCGCAAGTGCACCAAGATTCAATAAAAAACTATACCTGTAACTCTGCTCTCAAGGTGCTCATAAAAAACAAGGTTGCTACTACAGTCTTGAAGATTTTCCCTCTGGTGCGATAGTCTTTGTGCAATGAAGTATGTTTCCTTGTAATTTTTATGAACTCTCTTTCCAGATGCTGACTAAACTCTAGTGGGAAAGAAGCTTTAGTCACCTTAACAAAACGTCCTCTGAGGACTTTTTAGCCTTGTGGGACTATAAAAGCATGTACCTTTAAAATGCAAACTGAAGTACTGCACAGAGTCCTCCTTTCTCAGGCCCTGGTTATGTCAGGTCAGAATTCCTAGTGCCATTAAAAGTGCTTTCACTTATGTTCTGCCTTTTATTAATAAAGTTCTAAAAAGCTTCGGTTTGGGCAACTATGGTTCCACAGTCAACGACAATTCCTCTTTGATTCTTTTATAGCTACTCTTTGATCTAAATCATATCTAATCCAGGTAATTTCTACAACTCAGTATTACTCCATTTTCTTGATTTTCTTCTTTTTGTTGGTTTTATTTATTACAAATTTATTTACTTATTTTGGAAATATTTGTATTACCACATAGAAGAACAGTAAGGAACAACTAGGCTTCACAGGATTATAGACAATTGTACACACAACTCATAATCTAAAATAGCTTCTAATTCTGCTAACAATTTAGCAATCTTGGAAGTATGAAGTTTCATGTGAATACAAAATTCTTTCTTAAAAACCCCTTTAAACCTTCTTTTTTAATCCTTTAAAGAAACCAAAAAATAGGTGAAATAAAATATACAACAAATACTCTCCTGACAGCCATCTCCTACCTAAATAACTTCTCTGGTTCTCACAGAAAAGGTTTTTCACAGTTTTCTCTGGGAAAGCTGGTAATAGGCAGTTTTTCATTGTCTGTAACAACAACTTTATTTAAAATATTGTCTAAAATGTAAAGCTTGCACTACATAATTCTCAACAAAAAATCACACTCAGGCATTCAGCAACTCAGTTACCAATCTTTGCAGTATAGCTGGCTCTGCTTCTGTATTCCTCTATTTCCTATCGATATTGTCTATAGCTGCACACAGAGAACTTAAGCCCATTATCAATGTTCTTTTTCTGACTATCAGCAGTTTTATAACACTTGATATTTTAGACACAGCATATAGATGGTTTGCTTTCAAAGTGCATTACCTCATAAATCAGCTCAGAAACATCACTGTTTCCAGCATTTACATACCAAATAAACACTCTAGATGATTAAGTTACAGGAATACGTATCATGAATCATACAGAAATTCTGTGATCTTATGCTGGTAAAATGCACCAAGGATTAGTAACTGTCTCCTCCTGTAATACATTAAAAAAAGGGTAGAAAATCTAAAACTAAGTAATTCTGAAAATAAAACATTTGTGAAATGATAAACTGTGAAAGACACTGCTGACAGATATCCCTAATCAGCCTCTGGCTAACCTATGCAAGCTCCTTATCTCCAAACCACCACCACTTTCACTTGAGGACCTTTCCAGCTCTCCTAGGAGCTTCCTTCAGTAGACAGTCCACTGGTTACCAGCTTAAAGCCCCCTTCAGATGCAGCAATCTTTTGTCATATACTTTTTTTTTTTCTTCCTTTACCCTTAGGTGTCTTTGGGACCAGAAAGTGAGAAGGGAGCTGCCTGTGGCTTTGAAGGGAGGAGGTGCAGAGTAAACAGCAACGTCAGGACAGACAAGGTGTGCAAGCACACGGAGGGGAAGGCCTGAGCAGCATGCAAAGAGAAAGAATGGCTTCAGTGAGGCTTCCTCTGAAAGTGCTGGGAATCACTGCAATCAAGATATGTAAACAAGCAAGCTCAGGAAAGTTGCTTTCCTTCCTTTTGACTTGATTTGCAATCTGCACATCCTCCAAAACTGAGTTACCAAACTTACTTAGTTCATCTCTGCTGATAGATGCAAAGGATGTAACAAAGGTTGGTAACAGAATTTGACACTTCTTTGGCAGAACAAGCAGCTATTCAATACTGCAAAAAAATTTACTGAGCAATATTATTATGGCATTTGTGTTCTGAAGGGAAATCAATGGCTAAAATAAAACAGTAAAGTTTAAGCATGTGGCAGCCCTCAGAGACAGCGCTTCATTCAGGATAATGCACTGAGTACTTGAGCTATGCTCTGGTCTTCTTATAACAAATCAGGTCATATTCAAGTGGTAATTTCACAAACTACTTCCATGACTGAATACTCCAGTATACTTAATAAGATTGCAAACAAAAAAAACAAAACCAAAAACAAACAAACAGAAAAATTAAAAAATTCATGTGCACAAAACAGTAATAAGAGGCACTTTGCAAAGTGTTGGGAATACCACAAGCCAAATAAAATACTATTGAAGCAACAGCAGAAATGCAGCAGGAATAGTAGGAAACACTACATTCTCAAGGTAACTGATACAAAGTAAGAACACAATACTGTATGCAAGTTCATGGAAAAATTAGGTATTATCTAATGCAGTTCAATTCAGCATATGGTATTACTGCAGCTTCTATACTTCTTACTTGCCAGAGATAGATCACAATAAATTCTTATTGCCTGAGAACTGTCTCAATTGGTAACTGGGTAATGGACTAAAACCATGTTTCAGAGGCACAAATATCAGATCTGCAAGTAATTGTAATCAAGTTAACTACTAAACTTCATGTTTGCTTTTTCAAGTCATTCTTTTGCCTCTGTTTTTACGAAGATCTTTAATGCTCTACATTTTGGAGAAGTCTGAAGGGAGTAATATCTGTCATTTCTGTGTGTGCTAGGAAATGTAACATACACATTTTTAACTCTGCAAGGGCTGGGGTTTTATTTGGGTATTTTAGCAATAATTAAGAAACAAACCAAACCCAAAAAACAAAAAAAAAAACAACGAAACCCCAAAACATTTATATTGTAAATAGGAAAAGTAGGCTTAGAAATTATCCTTAGGTGTACCATAGCTGGTCCTTTGTGCTTTAAGGAAAAGAAAAATATGCTGTGGAAAAAAGAGTCATTGCTGTAAATGCAAATTCCATGAAGGCATATTCATTCCATCTGGCTTATCACAGAGCGTTTAGTACTGGAAGAGTAGTCAGAGGAATGCAGACAGCACAGTAAATCAAAGGAACAGTTTAGATTAATAAAACTCTATTCAGTTACTGGTTTCAGAACAGCTGAATTATATTTCATTTGAACACTGAGTTACTTATGTTCAGTTAACATAATGATTTTTAATAATTTATGATAGTAACATACTGGACTCATCTGGTGAAAAATTTCTGAGTGAACTGGGAACAGTGTCTAAGTCCAAACACAGCCTCATACTTCTCATACAGTTCAATACATGAAGAGGCATCTATATATACATTTCACAGAATTACAGGTTTAATAAATTAAAGTTGAAAGATGCTTATAGAGCTGGTGGCCCCTAAGATGCACGTACTTCAATCTACCTGGTAATTCAAGGACTGAGATGAACTTTGAACTCAGCAAAGCTGTGCACTTCAGCAGCAGTGAGGAAAATACCTGACAAACCTATTTAACAAAATGTCCAGCTCTTGGCAAAGCTAACGCTTCAAAAGAAATGAAGCTGCAATTAGTAGCTGACAAGGCTTTTAATGTTTCTTTCATTTTACCTTGGTTAAAACAAGAATGATATTTACCTACCAATCGTTATTTATTCTGTTAGCTGCAAGCATTTCTGATCAGCATGCCCAATTAAGAATTCACTGTATAAATTTTATTTTTTTT